CCCAGCTGGACCAGCCCCTTCTTCTGGTACTCACCTTTTTCACAGGACTCTTTTCTTTAAGCCTGGGTCTGGAGTTGGGTGGGGTGGGGCAAGGAGAGGGGATGTGGGTGGGAAGAAGAGCGTGCTCAGCCTGACACCAGTAGCCCAGACCCTCTTAGTGCCCACACTGAAAGCAGGCGGCTGTGACCTGGAGAATTGGAAGCTGCCGAATTCACCTCTCCACCTGTCACCTACCGGGAACCACTCTGACTCTTATTTTAAACAAGATGTTTTTTCTTCTCAGGCTTCCATCTGCTTTCTTTTATTTATCACAAATGGGTCTTTTTCATTATAAAAGTAATGTTTAACTATGTTGCACAATATATAGCAAATAGAGATTAAATTACTTATTTTCTTTATTTCCCCACCAGTGTTAACATTTTGGTGTGTTTCCTTTCAGGGCTTTTTGCTTTGTTTTCTTCTAAAAACATGTGAAATAACATGAAAATGACTTAATATCCTGTTTTTTAAAAATTCAATAAATATTTTCCAGGATGCTATATTCTTCATAGGTCACATTCCATTGGGAAAATGTGACATGGCTTAATCAAATACTACACTGGTCAACATTTGGAATGCTTCCATTTTTTACTATTACTTGAATAATGCGTATCTCAGTGCCTATCATTTTACCCATATTTTGGATGGGATCCTTTGGAAGGAATTGCCGTAAGTGGAATAGGTCAAAAGGTAAGAATACCTTAATGCTTTCCCCAGAGGCTGTGGCAGTAGGCTCCTGCCCGTGTGCACACATGCCAGGCCCTTCCTAGCCCCACATACCCCCGCTACAAGATCGCGGCCGAGTTAATAGAGGGAAAGAGTTACCTCACGGCCTCCTCTTCCTTTTCCACCTTTTTTTTCTGGGAACCAAACACAAGCGGTATGGGGCGGGTTAGGGCCCTGCCCAGGCTTTGGCACACTCAGGCACCCAGCACGCGGCAGGCCTGGCCCAGGCTTCTGAGGAGCCTCTGGGGGTCCCTGCCCTCACCTTGGCAACGCTTGTCTGCTTCTGGGACGCCAGCCTCTTGACTTGTTTAAGAGGGGTCTCCTCCTCTAGGGACACATCTACGTCGTCGTCGTCGTCAACCTCACTGCTGTCACCTTCCTCCTCCTCCTCCTCCTCCTCCTCCTCCTCTTCCTCCCAGGACAGGTCTGCAGTGTCTGCGGTGCGTGGAAGGGGGCAGGGCCACAGAGCTCTGGGTCTCTGCCTGGCTCCCGTCCCGCCATGGGTCTTGCCGTCAGAGCTGCCCTGGGGAAGCCAGCACCTGCCACCTCCTCTAGACCCTTTCTGGCCTCTCTGACAAAGTGGAGGCTCGGGTGGGGTGAGGGGTCCGGAACGCCGGAGAGCCGGGGTGGCGGGGGAGGGCAGGGGAAGTGGCCCGCTGTGGCTCTGGCTGGGAAGGAGTCAGAGGAGGGGAGGGTGGGCGGAGGGTGCCAGCGAAGGGAGCAGCTAAGGAATGCAGGGAAGTAGAGCCTGCCAGCGTCTTGGGGTAGGACAGTGCCCTGATGGAAGAGGGACGACCGCACAGAGGAGGCTAGGCAGAGAGTGGGCGGCACAGCGGCTTGCTGGGGTCCGTACTGCCCCTCCAGCGATGCGCCTCACAGCAGCTGACATTCTCCGTGCGTGTAGTACGAGGCACCCCGCAAACTGCTTTTTCCTGAATATCCCGTTTATTCCTCCCAACTGCTCTTTGGAGATGAAACCAAGTATACCCCCACCCTGGTGTTACAGGCAAGGGGACTGAGGCCCACAGAGGCAGGGAGGTAAAGGAGGACTTCCAGTCCAGACTACTGGCAATCATGTCGCCTTTGGGGACTTTTGCTAATAACTCAAGAATCCCTCCAGCTTTGGAGTGCCGGTTCCCCCTTTGGCCCTGTGCTAGGCACTGCACTCTGAGACCTTCCCCAGGTCCAAGCTCCGACTTACCGTAAAGTTCCTGGCCACTGAGGAACACAGGTCCAGAGCCAGCCCGGAGCTGGAAAGTGACTGGAGGAGAAAGCTCCAGTCCCATCAGGACGACCTGCAGGGGGAGGGATGCAGGGGCAGGAGCAGAGAAGATGGGCTCACTCACCCCTGGAGGCTGCCTGGGGGCTGCTCTCTGGCAGAAACACTCAGAATTGATTCCCCAAACCCCAACTACACACACTTCAGGTTCTCTGGGCCTCACTGTGTCATCAGCCCCTTCCTGTTGAGGTGGATTCTGTCGGAGAAGAATGTGAATCTGATAACCCCGCTCTTGTTAAAGATCCCAGACAGGCTTCCAAGCTGAGGGGCAGCTGTTCAGTAGAGAAGTGTGATTGCCACCGACTGAACTGTATCCCCCAAATTCTTATGTGAAGCCCTAACCTCCAGTGTGAGGCTCTCTGGAGGTGGGGCCTTTGAGAGGCAATTAGGATTAGATGAGGTCATGAGAGCTGGGCCCTCATGATGGGATGAGTGCCCTTGTAAAGGAGGCCAGAGGCTTCCCTCTGTCTCTCTCTGCCGTGTGAGGACGGAGAGAGCAAGCGGCCATCTGCAAGCCAGGAAGAGGGTCCCTCCCCGTATCCGACCTTGCTGGCACCCTGGTCTCAGACGTTCAGAACTGTGACAAAATAAATGCCCCTCACTCTATGGTATTTTGTTATGGCGGCCCACTCGAATAAGACATGAGTCAAATGAGAAAAGCAGACGCAAAGTGGTATGTACAGGACCAGTACTGTGTGGATATACATATGAATAAAGTTAGACTTCTCTTAAGTGTGACCCATAATTTTCAGTGGACAGTAAGATATTTCCTTTCCTTATACTTCTCCAAACTTTCCAAATTTTCTGGAGTATCAATGATGATACTCCCATTTATTGACTGCCTACTGTGTGCCAGGCCCTATGCTAAGCATTTTACCAACTTTATTCATCGAACCCCTCATGACAATCCCATGATGGAGGTGCCTTGACTTTACAGAGGAGAGAACTGAGGCGTAGGGAGATTAATTTAGAGTTTTGGGCTCAGAGAGGAAGGAGATAAGCGAAAACTGAAACTCTGCAGCCATCAACACCCAGAAATGCTGGATACAATATACTCCAATGTTTTCATTGCATGGCTGAATAGTAAGACAGAAGAGGTCCCATGCACCAGAAACGAAGGGAGAGCGTGGCAAGCGCAGGTGCCATAAGCAGCTGAGGGGGAGATGTGCCTGAAAACAGCTCTGGCCTTGAGTTTAAGATCTTATTTATTTATTTGCCAGAGAGAGAGAGCGAGAGAGCGAGCAAGCCAGGCAGAGGGAGAAGCAGGGTCCCCACTGAACAAGGAGCCCAATGCGGGACTTGATCCCAGGACCCTGGGATCATGACCTGAGCCCAAGGCAGATGCTTAACCAACTGAGCCACCCAGGCATCCCGTGGCCTTAGGTTTTAACACACACTCATGGACAGGGGACAGGAGACAGGGCCTGGGTTCAAAAGAGGAACACTGTCACGGAGCCCGCTGAAAGGAGGCTAGGACCCTCTAAGGGTTGCACCTCAGTAAAAAGCTCCAGGGTCAGGGAGAGGCTAGGGGACTGCAGAATTCCAAACCCACCTACTAGGAACTCCCCCTCCCCCCACTACTGAAGGAAGGAAATGCAAGGGGGATAAATAAGTCTCCTGTGAGAACCCAAAAACCCATGGCTGTACCTCTCACCCACACAAAGTTTCAATTCACTTGGTGAGTACTGCCAAGTCCAGAAACTTGTATAAAATCCCAGACTGGTGACATTCCTGGGCAAATGGCAGACACAAACACAAAACTGTTCTCTTGGGATACTGTCAATTTTTTTCACATGGAATTCTTTCAGAGAAAAAAACAAGACCCTGAAGACAGCTCCTCATCTAAAAATCACAAAAAACATACAAGACACAATCCTGCTAGAGTGAGCAGAAGGAAACAAAATGACCACAGACCAGCACAAGCAAGAACCTGAGATAAAAGAATAACAATCTAAACAATTGTGAAATTAGATTGATGAAAATCAAATAAACAAAAGTAGGAACTGTAAGAACAGGTATTAGGAGAAATAAAAAGAACCAAATGCAGCTTCTAGACTGAACAAAGGGTTAAAAAGCAGAATAAGCCAGCTAAAACAAGGATCAAGAAACTGGAATCATACTGTGAAGAAACTGCCTGGTACTCAGCACAGAGAGACAGATGAACAAAATATGAAAGAGAAGCTGAGAGGTATGGAGGACAGAATGAGCAGATCCAACATGCATCTCATCACAATAAGGGACTGGGAGCAATGGAGTCAATACGCCAAGTGATAACCAAGAGCTTCTAGAAACCATCAAGGACACAGATCCTCACATCCAGGAAACCTAAGTTCTGAACAGATAAATAAAAATAAATGTACACCTGAACATCCCATAGTGAAATGGTGGCTAGCAAAAACAAAGAGGTTATCTTAAAATAAACCAAAGAGGAAAGACAGATTTCCAAAAAAGGAACAATAACCAGACAGACTGAAGGTTTTGACAGCAACGTCAAAAACCAGAAGAATAGAATGACATCTTCAAAATTTTGAGGGAAACTACCTCTCTATGTAGAATTATACACAGCCAAACTATCATGAAGGAATGAGGGTAAAATAAAGATATTTCCAGGCAAAGCCCAAGTAAGTTCACTACTCCCAGACCTACTCAATGAGGTGTCAAAAAGATGACAATTACTGGTGCAGCCACTCTGGAAAATAGCATGGAGTTTCCTCCTATTCCTTAAAAACAGTATGGAGGTACCCTACGACCCAGCAATTGCATTACTAGGTATTTATCCAAAGGATACAAACATAGTGATCTGAAGGAGCACATGCACCCCAATGTTTATAGCAGCAATGTCCACAATTGCCAAAATATGGAAGGGGCCCATATGTCCATTGACAGATGAATGGATAAAGAAGAGGTGGTATAGAGAGGGAGACAAACCATAAGAGACCCACAATCTTAGGAAACAAACTGAGCGTTGCTGGAGGGGAGAGGGGTGGGGGGATGGGGTAACTGGGTGATGGACAATGGGGAGGGTATGTGTTGTAATGAGCACTGGGTGTCGTGTAAGACTGATGAATCACAGACCTGTACCCCTGAAACAAATAATATAGTTAATTAATTGAATTTAAATTAAAAAAACAAAACAAAAAGAAGAGGTGGTATACACACACACACACACGAATATTACTCAGCCATCAAAAAGCATGAAATCTTGCCATTTGCAACAACGTGGATGGAACTAGAGGGTGTTATGCTAAGTGAAGTAAGTCCATCAGAGGAAGACAAATACCTTATGATTTCACGCATATGTGGAACTTGAGAAACAAAACATGAACAAAGGGGAAGGGAAGGAAAAATGAGATAAAACAGAGAAGGAGGCAAACCGTAAGAGACTCTTAACTCCAGGAAACCGAGGATTGCTGGAGGGAACGGGCATGGGGGCATGCAGTAACTGGGTGATGGGCCTTAAGGAGGGCACGTGATGTGATGAGCACTTGTTATATGCAACTGATGAATCACTAAATTCTACTCCTGAAACTAAGGCTACACTATATGTGAACTAAATTGAATTTAAAGAAATTTTTTTAAAAGAGAGGACAATTACATGGAAAAGGAAGAAGTGGGTACAAGCAGCAGTGGTGAGCAAGCAACTTGGTCAACAAAGAAAAATCCAAGCAAGCATTACTGTAAAACAAAATCATACTAGTATTGACTAGTATTGAGTGGGTTTAAAACAAGCTGAAGCTAAGACACCGCATGATAACGGGTAAGTTAAGAAGAGGGTAAATAGGGCGCCTGGGTGGCTGGGTTGGTTAAGCGACTGCCTTCGGCTCAGGTCATGATCCCGGAGTCCCAGGATAGAGTCCGGCATCGGGCTCCCTGCTCGGCAGGGAGTCTGCTTCTCCCTCTGACCCTCCCCCCTCTCATGCTCTCTATCATTCTCTCTCTCTCTCAATAAATAAATAAAAAAATCTAAAAAAAAAAAAAAGAAGAGGGTAAATAGAAAATCTTCCTTGATTGTTTGGGGGGAGGAATAAAATATTAATTTTAGACTAATCATGCATGATTGTTAAAAAATTAAGAACTAATAAAAATCAGAATGAGATTCAACAGCTTCCAACCCAATAGAAAAGGGGAAAAGAAACCTTAATCTAATAAAAGACAGAAAAAGGAGAAAAAAGAAAAACAAAACACGAAAGCAAGGAATATAAAATCACAAAGTACATATTACAAATAAATCCAAGTATATTAGCATCACAGTAAACATAAACAGACTATATTGGCCAGATAGATGAACATAAAATGTAGCTATTTACTGCTTGTAAGATACATGCCTAAAACATAAGCACATAGAAATGTTGAAGAAAAGATATGGAAGCATACCTAGCAGGTGTGGCAGAGGCTTCTCAAGGCTACTGCAATATCCATTCTTCCCTTTTTCCATCATAGCAGTGTCCTGATACTATTCAAATACTGTACCCACCAAAGACTGTATTCCTCAGTTTCCTGTGTAGTTGGCTGTGATCATGTTACTAATTTCCGGACCAATGAGTTGTAAGCAGAATTTGGTGGGTGGTGCTTGTGTGAAGACTCCTTAAGAGGTAGACAGAGAACTGAGAAAAGCCCCTTTGGTCTCCCCCTGTTTCTTCTCGCCTATTACCCTAAATGCAGAAGTGAGAGGTGGAGCTGCAGCAGTCTTCTTGGACTATAAGATGATCTTGAGGATGGAAGTTTTGAACCAAGGAGAGAAGAAAGAGAAGAGAAGCCCGGGTCTTTGGTGACCATCGAGCCATCTTACCAGCCTTGTACTGCCTATCTCTGGATGTCTTCTATCCAAGACAGAAATGAATCTTGAATGTGTTTGAGTCCCTGTAGTTGGGTCTCTGTTACTGCAAACATAACTATTTAAAACAAAAATGAAGCTAGTTGTATTTGTTAGGATTAGGTTTGCTAACAAGCAGCAGAAAACTCAATGCCAGTGGCTTATACAACATAGAAGCTTGTTTCTTTGTCACATAAACTCAA